TTCATATCTTCTCTTCTCACCCTCCTTATGACGCTGCACGGCCCGCCCAAGCACTGCACTAATATCCATTGTATTTCTCTATTCCTCTCTCTCTCTCTCTCTCTCCTCCCTGAAAAAGACCGCTTCCCCCTTTTTGTTCGTCTCGTCCCTTTTGCTACTCACTTTCCTTGCTCCGTTTACTTTATTCGGTTAATGCATCATTCACGACCAAACCCATCTCTACATTAATATCATCCTCCCCCGACCCGACCTACCTATCCTCCTACCATGCCTCCTCGACTACGCCATGTTCCAACCTCTCCTTCTACCCTGTTTCTTCCTTGCCTCTGCCAAAAAGAAAAAACGAACCCACCCCCCCTTTTCTTCTTCTTCTTCTCTCCTTCCTCCTTACTTCTTGCTATCCCCCTTTTCTTCTATTTTCGTGATGATGTACGAGAACCCCGTCTCTCTCTCTCTCTCTTTAACTTATCGCGACTTGACATTCTATCTTCCATCTGTGATGTGCTATTAAACTACCGGCTTCTCTCTTCTACCCAGCTCATCTAGATTAAGCTTAAGCTCAGCATCTCATGTCTTATCTTTCTCCAGCTCGTACGTAACAAGCAGTAGCCGCAGCTAAGAAGCAGACTAAGTAAGCCTGACTAAACTAACTGTCCAACCTTGCTATTTATATGGTCCGGTGTTGATGTTGGCAACATGCGAGATTTACCTGGCAGCGCAGACAAGGAAGACGGACGCCGGCCCGTCGAGGGATGGCCGGCTTCGTCTACTGCAATATACAGCGCGGAGACAACTAGTCCGCTGTCTATCTCTGTATATTCCTGTCAGGCAGTCTGTCTAACCGTCTCATGCAAGCTGTGCTGCCGGGGCAAGGATACTTACAAGTTACCTTCACCTTAGCTCGCCGTCGCCACCAGCGCCGACCTCGAGCCTGATAAGCTCGTCTCTTCCCGGCCTCGACTTTATTCTTCTTGTCTTCTCCTCTTCTTCTTCTTGTCTTCTCGTCTTCTTCTTCCAGGCTGTGTGACTTTTGCCTCTTCTCGTCCTCGCTGCCCCTCCGCCCGCACGCCTCTACAACTACATCAACATCCAACATCACAACTACATCAATATCACAACTCCACCAACACCAAGATAGAAGATAACTGAGAAGAGATAACTGAGGAGATAACTGAGGAGAGAATGGCTCCTGGCATCGACACCTCCCATCACCATCGAGAGCGCCGGCCGTCCGTCGGGGCTCCGCATTCAGACCTCCAGGGCCCCGTCGGACCGGGCTTCTCTCGTCCCAAGCACAAGCGGACCTTCACCGGCTTTGGGCCCAAGGACATCAAGTCCGTCGAGGCCAGCATCCCCGAGCCCCAGCGAGCTGCGTGAGTCTTCCTTGTCTACTCTAGTTTACCGGGTTGTGCTGTGGGTACTAACGGTGGTGCAGGTGGAAGAAATACGTAAGGATGCAGCAGAGATATAACCATCTGACCAGCTACCAAGTTGCTGACTGACGGGCGGGAACAGGCTCCCAAGGAATTCGAGACCAAGGAGGAGTTCGAGGTTGGTCAACCCGGCTGTCTTGCTTGGATATCTACTGACTAGCTGCAGTCCGAGGTCGTCCGCCATGTCGAAACCAGCTTGGCCCGCTCCATCTTCAACTGCGACGAAGTGTACGTTGGCCGTGCAAGATAGCTGGTTAATTGAACAGAAAGAAGACATGCTGATACTTCTGGGTAACTAGAGCTGCCTACTCGGCCACGGCCCTGGCCTTCAGGGACCGCCTGGTCGTCGAGTGGAACAAGACCCAGCAGCGCCAGACCTTCAAGGACCAGAAGAGAGTCTACTGTAAGCTGTCTTCCTATCTTCCCGGTTCAAGAGTACTACCACCTGCTAACAGACACAAGATCTCTCGCTGGAGTTCCTCATGGGACGAGCCCTTGACAATGCCATGCTCAATGTCGGCCTGAAGGACCTCGCCAAAGGTGCGTCCCTGCTCGCATCCCAAGTCCCGGTTATCGAGTCTTATCTATGTCAAGTTTCTCTGCCTAAGATCAGTGCTAATGCTACGTCATAACCAGACGGACTGGGCGATCTCGGGTTCCGCGTCGAGGACATCATCAAGCAGGAGAACGACGCTGCCCTGGGCAATGGAGGCCTCGGTCGTCTGGCTGCCTGCTTCCTCGACAGCCTGGCCTCGCTCAATTACCCGGCCTGGGGCTACGGCTTGCGCTACCGCTACGGCATCTTCAAGCAGGAGATCGTCAACGGCTACCAGATCGAGGTTCCAGACTACTGGCTCGACTTCAACCCCTGGGAGTTCCCGCGCCACGACGTCACCGTAGACATCCAGTTCTACGGATGGGTCCGCAAGTACCAGGATGAGAACGGCAAGACAGTCCACTCCTGGCAGGACGGCGAGATCGTCCAGGCCGTCGCCTACGACATGCCCATCCCGGGCTACCAGACGCCCACCACAAACAACCTGCGTCTCTGGTCCTCCAAGGCCGCCAGCGGTGAATTCGACTTCCAGCGCTTCAATGCCGGAGACTACGAGAGCGCCGTCGCAGACGAGCAGCGCGCCGAGACCATCTCCGCCGTGCTCTATCCCAACGACAACCTCGACAGAGGCAAGGAGCTGCGTCTAAAGCAGCAGTACTTCTGGTGCGCCGCCTCCCTCTTCGACATCGTCCGTCGCTACAAGAAGACCAAGCGGCCCTGGAGCGAGTTCTCCGACCAGGTCGCCATCCAGCTCAATGATACCCACCCTACACTAGCCATTGTCGAGCTCCAGCGTATCTTCGTCGATGAGGAAGGCCTTGACTGGGACGAGGCCTGGCGTCTCGTCTCCAACACCTTCGGCTACACCAACCACACCGTCCTCCCCGAGGCATTGGAGAAGTGGTCTGTCCCGCTGATGCAGAACCTGCTGCCCCGTCACCTCCAGATCATCTACGAGATCAACATGGCCTTCCTGCAGCACGTCGAGCGCAAGTTCCCCAAGGACCACGACCTGCTCAGCCGCGTCTCCGTCATCGAAGAGTCCCAGCCCAAGATGGTCCGCATGGCTCACATCGCCATCATCGGCTCGCACAAGGTCAATGGCGTCGCCGAACTGCACTCCGACCTCATCAAGTCCACCATCTTCAAGGACTTCGTCTCCATCTACGGGCCCGACAAGTTCGGCAACGTCACCAACGGCATCACCCCTCGCCGCTGGCTGCACCAGGCTAACCGCAGACTGTCAGACCTCATCGCCTCCAAGCTCGGCGGCCACGAGTTCCTCAAGAACCTTACCTTGCTCGACAAGCTGGAAGGCTTCATCGACGACAAGGAGTTCAAGACCGAGTGGGCTGCCATCAAGACCGCTAACAAGGAGCGTCTGGCAAAACACATCCTCGACACCACGGGCGTCAAAGTCAATCCCACGGCCCTGTTCGATATCCAGGTCAAGCGTTTCCACGAGTACAAGCGTCAGCAGCTTAACATCCTAGGCGTCATCCACCGCTACCTCCGCATCAAGGCCATGAGCCCCGAGGAACGCTCCAAGCTGGCCCCCCGTGTCTCCATCTTCGGCGGCAAGGCTGCTCCAGGTTACTGGATGGCCAAGACCATCATTCACTTGATCAACAGCGTGGGTGCAGTGGTCAACAACGACCCGGACGTCGGTGACTTGCTCAAAGTCATCTTCATCGAAGACTACAACGTCAGCAAGGCCGAAATCATCTGTCCTGCCTCCGACATCAGCGAACACATCTCCACTGCCGGCACAGAGGCCAGTGGAACAAGTAACATGAAATTCGTCCTCAACGGCGGCCTCATCATCGGAACCTGCGACGGTGCCAACGTGAGTCTCCTTATATTCTACCCTTCCCTATCCATTGCTAACCTGTGCTGTAGATCGAAATTACCCGCGAAATCGGTGAAAATAACATCTTCCTGTTCGGCAACCTGGCCGAAGACGTCGAGGACCTTCGTCACGCTCACGTCTACAACCCCTCAAGCATCACTCTTGACCCTTCGCTGTCAGCTGTCTTCGATGCCATCCGCGCCAACACCTTCGGCGATGCAAACTCCTTCTCGGCAATCATCGACTCGATCACCCAGCATGGCGATTACTACCTGGTCTCCGACGACTTTAACTCCTACGTCAAGACGCATGATATCATTGACGAGGCCTTCAAAGACAAGGACGGATGGGTCGAGAAGAGCATCCTGAGCGTTGCCAGGATGGGTTTCTTCTCGTCCGATCGTGCTATTGCCGAGTATGCCGAGGGTATCTGGAACATCGAGCCTTTGGACATCACCAAGTAATTTATTTACTTGGAACATATAATGTGATGAGAAGTGATAGGGCGGGTGATGATTTTCGTTGACCAAGTTGATTTCTAATTTGTCGTTTTTTTCGTGGTAAAATTGTCCCCAGATTCAGAGAAGTGCTTGTTATAGCAAGCACAGACAGAATAGCAAATAGCAGTTAATTGATCTATCTCACTTGATATTGAATTCCCGAGTCAAGAACCAGCTAGACCCAGGGTGGCGCTGCGAACCACAAAACCTTTTCAGCCTCAAGCTCATCCCGGTAATCTTCATCCGGAAACGCATCTCGTATAATCTTCTCCCTATCCGCTGCTCCCTCTATAATGTATATCCCCTTCGTAAACTCCCAGTATTCAGGATAATATCCCGCACACTCCCAGTCCACGATACCAGACAACTTCCCGCGCTCAATAATGATATTATAAAAGTTCAAATCAGCATGGGAGAAGAACGACCGGTACGATTGGGAGTGAACGTGAGCAACAGCCTGTTTCGTCTCGGCAGAAATAAACTTGTGGATCAGCGCGTCGTGGAAATCCGACTCGTTGTCAAAGGGCCCACGGGCCCGGTCGTGAGAGTCCGGTAGGCGCACGTCTAGAAGTGGACCGCCTAGAACATTAGCAAAGCGGTGAGGAGTGGTGTTTGGGATTTCTCGGAGCTGTTTGATGGCTGATCGCAGGTCCGCCGAGAGCTGTGTGCGTTCCGGATACGATAGCCGGTGGAATACCTCCTGCAATTGCTGGCCTCTCACCCGAGTCATTACCAGCATTACTTTTCCCTGATGTTCGAATGTGTCTATAAATAGCGGGGCGGGTATTGATGTGTGCTGTTCAACAATTTGAAGCGCTTTTACTTCGTTATATCGAGCCCGGTGACAGTGCTTCATGTATAGTCCGAGTGGAAGTTGCTGTACTATCGAACTACGGTGCGGATAGAATCGTTTGTTGATCTGGGCTAGGAAAAGGTAGCACCATACCCGGATTGGTTTGGGGACAAAGTGCCAGCAGCTGCGAATATATTGGCTGACTGTCTTGCTTAGAGAAACTATTATTGTCCTGGTGTATTAGTTGATAGTTCTCAACTTCCCTTATACCGTTGAATTTTAGTTGTGAGTCTTACTGTAAGGCGATCGCGGCCAGCCGAGAGAAATATCATCTTCAACAGAAAAAAGATGCAATGCAGTAGCAATCTTGGAATGTATCTGGAGTAACTCCTCACTAGGCAAGGGGTATAATGAAGGATCTTGGGTGTACATTGTGAACATATGGGGACCGCCTTTCAAAGGCTCTCCATTGCTAAGGGTAAGATCAGTGCGTTCTCCGGGTGCAAGGGTGATCGCCAGATACTAGATATCAGTCACTTAGTATCAGACCATTACCCAGAATACTCGATTAATGATAGGCTGGTTGGACAAACATGAACGCTTTTCGCATCTGCCTCTATCTTCTTCGGTGGACCAGGGCCTAACCCCCTCGTAATCTCTAGATTACCTTCTCGAAAAGCGGACTGGACCGAGGGTGACAGGAGCAAAAGATTCTGTAGTGCATTCTTTGGCTCGGTACAACTTTCTAGAATGCCCCGTAGCCAACGAACTACATCAGGGGTTAAGAAGGCTTCCAAAATTGAAAGCATTGGGCTCTGAAGATACCGTCACTTCTTGTTAGACGAGAGTATTCCAAGGACCCGACAGCGGTGAGAGCTACCCACTTCATACGCCAATTCATCGTCATGGAAGATTGAAGGGGGTATAATCCATGCAGGTTCAACATTAAATGTTGCATTCGCAGCGAGACGTCCACGACGGTTGACCATGCAACAGCAATTCTGCATATCCCGGCTTTTTAGGAAACATTGCGATGGTAATGGTATATCCTCTTGTTTTGTGACTTCAAGCACCATAGTTAGCTTCTAATCTGAATAGTATTATTCACTGGAGTTTTACATTTAGTAACCAATCGCCTCCAGTCTTTCTTGAATTCCCGTAGGCTTGCTTCAACACTGCGGTTTGGGTTCTCTTCCACCTTTCGCAGTAGGTATATAGCTGCACAGCTTGGGTCTCGGGCCTTATCCAAGAATCGTTTCAACAGCAGGTGTTCGGTGGGAGTTAAAGCAGCAGATTTTACAGTGTCAAGAGCAGTTGCAACAACGTTCTCCTCAGGCTCCATTGCATTTGGCTATCATCAATGACAGCCTGTAACCGAACTAAAAAAAGCATTGCTCGGCCTGGCTTGCTGTTGCTATCAAGCGTTGAGGTCGTCCTAAGGTAAGTCTCAACCATAAAAGGCCTGAACCTAATCTGGATAGCACGTGACATAAAAACTCTGCTAACTAATTTATTACTAATTGTGATCAACCGGGGACTGTGCGGGGATTATCTTGGTTTCATTGGTCGATATGTTGACGCTAACCATATTTGATTAATTATGAACTTAAAAGCTTCACTTCGACTTGGCACCTCCGTAACTTAAATAGCTAACTACACCACCAAACGATAGTCATGCAAACGGTTTCCACTACTCCGTACTCCGTACCAAATATAACTATTAGAAAGGACATACTCTTCAGTATGCGAGGCTCGCGCCTCTCGGGGCTCCGAGGGAAGAATTTCTGTGGTTTCTCCGTTACTATGCACCTGGTTTTAGTTCTTCAGGGGTCTGCATTGAGCTCAATCTTGAGGCCCTGGAAAAGAACACAATTGGCTGGTGGGCATGCATAATCCGTTTGTGCTAGACCTCGTATCTGTGTTTCCTTGAATCTTGGAGATGGAGGGTGCTGGGGCTGATCGTTTTGACCGGGGCTCAGGGCTATTCCCAGAATCCCCCCCCCTCCACCGGGGGTACTTCGTCGACAGTATAATTCTCACGGCATCCCATCTACATATACCCCCTTTATACTTGTTCCTATTCACTTCTTTTGATAAGACAGAAGCGGGAGAACTCCATAACAAAATAATCCAGTACATATACGAAACACTTCGCTCAATACATTAAGATATGGATCTCGAGTTCGACGAACATGGATATTATATCCTACTTTCAGATCGTGGGGATAGTTGGCGATTCCACTGGGGCCTCTACCTTGCCAAAACAAAAACATCACCATCTCGTCAATGACACGCCCTCGACTGACTGGCGATTAGAAGTCAAAGAGAGCGGCAATGTGCTTCAGTCCAATAAACTCTTGGTGCCCTGAAGATCGGAATCATTGAGCCGATGTTGCATGAGATGCTAGGGCAATGCCTCATTGAAATCCCTATCGAGTATTCCACCCGCTTTAAGGAGAACATCACCTGTCGAGTCTGGCTTAAGGAGGCCGTCCATGAGCTCAACGAAAGGGGCCTACTGAATCTCCATGAATCTGTCGATTCGATAGAGTTTGAAGCGAATAGCACAGCTTTGTCTAGCAAGGCCACAAAGAAAAAGTCCGTCAAATTATCCATGGGGACTTGTCCGTGACTTGGTCACTCCCCTGTCCCGCGGTACACGGACACGCAAAGAGCTAGTAATCGTGAGCAGGGACCTAGTGAAATGAACAGAGACAAAATGAATACTTTCATAGATGGCACCTTCTTACATGGTCCCACGGCTTGCTATTGTATTTGCCCCCTTAAGTTTTCCTCTCAATTATCTAGGAGTATCACTGTATCGGAGTGTGATGTCTTTTGGTGGGCATTGGCTAGCCCGGAGCACATGGACAAGGAGAATTATTCAAATCTATATTTCCTTCTGATACTGCGCTTTCACAAACCTCCCTCATAAGTCCGGAGCTGTAGTTGAAGAAATCAGTCATTTTGGAAGCGAGAAGAAACCCACCCCCACTGGGCACTACTTCACGCTTGGTCCCCTGAGTTAACTGAGGAGTTAAGGCTGCCCCTGGACCTTGTTCACTAACTAACCACCGTTTCGCCTCATTCTTCAGCAACAACAACTGCTGCCTGTTGTGCCGCCTAGAACGGGCGTTCGGCGACTTTTAAGCCGCGAGTCCGTCGGTGGCTTGCTTTTCTACGGTTGAAGAATATAATATTTAAGCCGGATTTGTTTTTATTTTGCTCGTGGATGTCGACAATTCCACTCGATAAGCTGATAGCTCGACAGTTATCATCGAGTTTCCTACCAGCAACATGCTTCTGATGGAACCCGTGAGTATATTGACGGCAGCTTTACTGGCCCTCCTGGGCTACTTTATCGTCCAGACAATTTATCGTCTATATTTCCACCCTTTGAGCAAGTTCCCTGGCCCAAAAATTGCAGCTGCTGGTCGTTTCTATGAGTTTTATTTCGACATAGTCAAGGGCGGCATGTATATATGGGAAATACAGCGCATGCACGAACAGTACGGTGAGCATAATTTATTCTCTCGGATTATACGGTATTAGTTAACTATCTAATCATTGTTATACAGGCCCTATTGTACGTGTCAACCACCGAGAACTTCATATTAAAGACCCCGACTACTACGCCGAGGTATACAGTTCTCGGAAACAAGAGAAGGACTTCCATGCCGTCTCTGCTTATGGCATGACACAGTCTATGATCACAACTCTTGATCATGACCATCATCGTTTCCGCCGGGGCCTTCTAAACTCTTTCTTCTCTAAACGAGCCGTGGCCAGTCTCGAGCCTATGGTTCTAGAGAAAGTCAACCGTGCCGCAGAACGCATCGAAGAGGCCTTTAACCAGAACGAACTTGTCCCTTTTGATAAGGTATTTGCTGCAGTGACTGCAGATATTATCTCAAAATATTCATATGGCCGAAGTGTGGACTACTTGGAGAAGAAGGACTATCAAAATGACTTTAGAGATTTCGGGAATGTTGCCAGTAACTTATCACATATTTTCACCTTCCTCCCTGGCATGATGGGTGTGGTCAAGGTTATACCTGAAGCATGGCTACAGACTATACAACCGCAGGCTGTTGGGTTTTTCAGCATGAGAAATCTAGTGAGAGACCAATCATTGGCCATGCTAAAAGAAACCCATCGTCCAGGATACATATCACCAGAGGGACCTGATCGGAATATTTTCCATGCCCTCTGTGACCCTGGAGTGCCGGAGAAGGAGAAGGAGATTGAACGACTGACAGAAGAAGGATTGGGCGTCCTTGCTGCGGGCACAGAAACAACGGCTAGAACGTTGACCGTAGGCACCTACTATCTATACCACGATAAATCAGTTCTGCATAAATTGCGCCAGGAGTTAAAAGAAGTGATGCCAAAACCAGACAGTTCTATTACTTGGGCACAGTTGGAGAAATTGCCTTACCTCGTACGTTTTTATTCTTCTATGATGAATACCATTTTGAAAATCTCACTAACGGGCCGCTTAGAACGGAGTTATCAATGAGTCACTTCGTCTGTCTCATACTCTGGTCATGAGGCTCCCGCGGATTGCAAAGGACCAAAGCCTGGCATATGGAGAATATGTTATCCCCCCAGGCGTAAGTCTTCCAAAAAATTACCACTGTTACTTACTCCATTGGAAATTGATTGATATAACTGACCTCGCCCTATGCAGACCCCTGTAAGCATGATATCGTACTTCATTCATCTCGATCCAAAGATATTCCCTGATCCACAAAAATTTGACCCTGAGCGCTGGATTCGAGCTACAGAGAAGGGTGAACGGCTGTCCAAATATAATGTCTCATTCACAAAGGGAAACAGAATTTGCCTTGGAATGAAGTGAGTTTTCTTCTCTACCCGTTTGTGAACCGTATGTACCACCCTGTTTTTCTGAATGCTGATGTTGTTTTCTCATTTTTATTAGCCTCGCATATATCGAGCTGTATCATATGTTTGCCACCATGGCCCGCAGATTCGATATGGATCTGCATAACACCACGTTTGACAATATTCGAGTCGATAGGGAATTCGGCCCAGGCTTGCCGAAGGGTAAAAACGTCATTGAGGGTTACGCCAAAGTGAACAAAGTTTTGACTGAGTAGTTACAGAGCGTTGGATGAATTTGATTGACAGGGTCATTATCATCATTGGTGTTTGTATTATTTGCGAGATAGAAATCGGTGCATACCAAGAGTGTTGTTTTATTTAAATTGGTATAATTCACAGGTAAATTTTTACAGTCCAATATTCATAAGCTGAACCCCGGTGTGAGATGCAATATGGTCAATAAATATAGCGAGGGAATCAGAAAAAGCGATAGATTCAAAATGGGTATATAGCGTTGAAGCCTTGCTCCTTCCACAGGGCGATAGATGCTTATAAAGGATGCACACCATCGAGTCATAAATGAAAGCAAATCTTATGGTGACATAAGAGGAATTATTGTCAAAGGAAAATTTTGTTTATATCCAGATCCTCTATTCCGTGGTGAGCTCTTTAACGCGTCGTTCTAACTCAGGAACAGCTCGAAGTTGTAGATCAATATCTTCCTTCTCACTGAAAGCAAAAACAAACATCGTTAGTAAGGAAATCTAGTAAGGTTGAGAGCTAATACCAAACTCACTCTTCAAGCTTCAGTCGGCGTTCCCAGTCCAAACCGGTAAAGATACAGTTTCCCTGGCCGTCAAACTGGAGGATCTTCTTGTGGTATTTCCACAGACTCCTCCGGTGGGAAACTGTCATCAAGGTGACACCAAGTTCCTTAGCAGTCTCGTACATGACCTTTTCGATCTCCAGTGTGACCGAGGAAGTACATTCATCTAAAATAGCGTATTTTGGCTTATGATAGAACAATCGAGCCATAGCAATTCGTTGCTGTAGTCCGCCGGAGAGTACATCTCGCCACTCTTCTTCGGCATCCCAACCACCGGGTCTGTCGACGATGGACGAAATCTCCACGATGGATAAGATGTCGAAAAGGTCTGAGTCGGTGACCCCCTTTTCATGCATTTCTTTGAGGCCATCAGGATAAATGACCTGCTGCCGAAGGGTTCCGCGTGACAAATATGGGCGCTGTGGTATATAGAAGATATCTTCAAAGGACGGCTTCTTAACTGTACCACCGTATACAGGCCATAATCCACCAAGAATACGGAAAAGAGATGACTTTCCACAACCGTTAGGTCCAACGATAAGCAGATGCTCTCCAGGATGGACAGTGAAGGTAAGCTTTTCAACCAAAACATCTCCATTGGGTGAGATGATGGGCACATCTGTGAATTCGATCGAGTCACTTTCAACGATGGTTCCGCGATTTCCAAGAACAGCGGCATTAGCATCCGTTGATACGGAAGAGACAAGCTTCTTCTGGAAACGACCGGCAGTTATGTCATCCATTACCTCCAAGAGAGAAGCCACACGAGAAGTATGTCCGGCAAGCTGGGAAATCTCCTTGTATGAGAACATCACTCTTCCAAAGGCATCGGAGGAGGACAGCAGTATCCTCCGGTTGGTCACGAAGCTCTCAGTCCGATCTCCCATGGTTGAGGTTATTTGGCTAGGGATTTTAAAGAAGACAGGCACACTGCATAATATCAAACCCAAAGCACCCCAGAAGTATTTGATAACAAAGTCTTCCATGAAGCCATGGTAGAGTCTCCTTCGCAAGATCCGGTTGACATGTTTAATAAGAGTGAAATACCCCTTGTCTAGAGTATCTCTCTCTGATTCATGGCCGTGATAAAGAGCAACCTCTTCGCTATAATCAATTAACCTCGTATGCTGGAAACGGAACTCTCCCTCTAGCTTCGCTTCCTCGGCCACGTATTTACCAAAAGGTGGGGTAAGGGCTCTCATAGCATTAGCGGAGAGCTGCACCAAAAGTGCCATGATGAAAAGGCCCTCGCCACCCACGTTTTTGGAGAGAGAGTAATTGTAAATAGCCATATCGAGAATCGGTTTGGCAAGGTTAGAGTATAACTCCGCCAAGCTGTTGGAAAATCGCGATATGTCCACGGTGATAAGCTGGTCTGGGTTCTTGATCCGGTCATCCAGCGCAGATAACGCATAAAAGTTCATATTTGACAAGTACTGGTTATGAATGTACTCAGTCAGGCGTTTCCGGTACTGAAGGGCCAGCTGGCATTGGTGGTACGAAAGCTACCATCCCAAGCAGGTTAGCAAGGGAACAACCAAGCTCAAGTCTATAAATGCAAATAGAAGTCCACTTTAAAAGCAAGATACTTACCATTGAATTGGTAAAGGTGGCCGGTACCGCTACAGTCATCCACCAGGCCAGAGAAAGGAGGAACTCCCTGCCTTTGCCTCTAACCAAGCTGCTGACGAGTTTTCCATCCAGCTCCGCAACATATAAACTCAACAACGTCCTCAAAACAAGAAATACTGAATGGCTTATCAGTAGTCGGAGCTCTTTGCTCTTCCAGCCTGGTATCACAATCTTCAACAGCCGCAGTAAATTCCGCAGAAACTCTCGATTCAGACCAACCCTTTTCCGAGGTGGACCACCGCCATCACCTCCTGCGCCTGTGCTATCTTCCCCATTCAACTTTCGAGTGCCAGCTCTGTTTCCAGCCTGAATCTCAGAGGCAGACCTTTGCTCGGCAATAGCATTGTGTATTCGTTTGGCGAGGGCGAGAAAAAGCGTTAGGTAAACTGCGCGAGATATGCCGGTGCGGTGCTTGACGTATTTCTTGGTGAGAAGAGATACAAGATCTTTGATTGACCGTTCTAGTCCGTGTCCTGTCGGGTGAGAAAGGACCGCCATGGTGGTGGAAGTAGTTTGTGGTGATGTTGTCGCCGCAATCTGGGGTATTAACTAGCGGCTTGCCGAAGCAACCGCCTTAGCGAGGAAATACGTTCTATCTGAGCTGGAGATCAAGCATATACCTGGCATCCTGCTGTCCCTACACATCTAGCTCCACATATGCTCAACTCCCAACGTCCAAAACTCCCAGATTGTCTTGTTTTCATCTTCATCTCTTCGTCGCCTTCGGCCTCGTTGAAATCATCGCGGTTGGCAAAGCCGAAGTCACATGACCTCGGTGCGCCGCGCTAACATGTGATTAACACCGAAAATTCCGCTCAAAAGGGAAGAAGATGGAGAAGATGAGAAGGAGCAAGATGGAAGATGAGACGAGACGAAGAGTCAAGTTCGATGATAGATAATTATTGTATATAATGAGTAATGCCAGGCTTCCCTTGAACGTATGTCCTTCAATACTACGTTGAGCTCAACCATCTCACAAGAATCGAGTAACCAGTCAGTCCAGACAAAAAGCAACCACCGTAACTAAAGACAGAAAAACAAACTGTTTGAGTTTGGACTGCTGACAGCATAGTTATGCCTAGCTATCCTATCGGAAGAGCAAGAGGAAAAAATGAATGCAAGAAAAGATGTCCATAATCCAGTTGTTGCATGCATGTATGCGCCTATGGGAAAAACCATCCACGTCCTCGCTAAACCAAAAAACATGTGCGGTAAGATATGGTAAATACATTGAAGGTATAAATGGGAAGTCGTCAATAAGGAAAGCTTGCTGCAAACACTTGGGAGAGTAGAGGAAAGGAGAGGATATATTAAATAGATTCGCTAGAAGGGGATATTGAACGATGAGTGGGAGAATAGTCAAAATTGGTACAGAAGGTATAGTTTCGGCAGTGCCAGAGTCAAGATGTATACTTATGTGCTGAAAGACCAAGAGAAAAGAAAAAAAATATCACGAAAGTAACTTTGCAGTTCCGCGTAATCGTCAATGAAAAGCGAATTCAGTTGTAAAATGGATAGGTATTCATGCATCATCCGGATTTCTCAGGCCTGCGTTTATAAGTGCCACGATATGGCTTTCCTTAAGTTCTGCGAAGGCCTCAGGGTCTTGTTTCTGTAGAGTAAGCAATTCTTCCAGGTTGGAAGCGCCATCATGGAGTATGGGACGGGATGAGGAGGATCGGTCTTCACTGTGGACATTTGTATCGGTGTCTTCGCCTTGAAGAGAACGAAGACGTTCAAGTTTTTCGCGGAGAGCTTGAACTTGTACTGCATCTGGAGGTGACTGGGAGATTGTTTTCTCCGAAGACTCCTGGTCTGCGTCCTTGCTCTTGTCCTTGTCTGAGCGACCGAGTAGCGAATGACTGAAATGGTGACTGAGACGGTGGACTTTCCCTTCTTCAGAGGTAAGTGCGCGGGAGTGGAGGGATGTATTCGAACTAGTCCGGGAGAGACGAACAGCGTATCGATCTACATCCTCGTCTTCACCATCTGCTTCAGCCGTTGTATTGCCGTTGGCGGATGAACCAACCGGTTCAAGGATAGTAGAATCATTAACGTTAGATAGATTAGGAGAACCATCACTTGAGCGGGTTGTGGAGGTCTCATCGGGTATGCGGGTATCCGGGAACTCATCCTCAAAACGTTGAATCATTCGTTGAAGTGTCATGTCAAGAAAGTGGAGTCGGCCTATTTACGGTAGGTCAGTTACATTACTTCATTGTTGTCAAATGCAAGCAAAAGAGTAAAATGCATACGATAGTTTAGATCATTACCTGCCCGGTCCTCACGGACCAAAGCAGGCCGCAGCCGAAGCCGGATCTTCCTCGCAGAGTTGAGTAGATCTCTTGACATATCACGAGGTTTCTTGGTCACGCGAACATGACTAAGGCGACGATATGGTGTAGAAGTGCCACTAGCAGTTGGAGACTGGTCGCCCAGAACATCTTCGACAGCGGTGTAATCTGAATTACCCAGACAGATTCCTAGCGCCTTGACAACTCCAGTACCACCAATGACATAGTCATAGTCTGAAGTAACTTTGGAGTCATCAATTTCCCCGTTTGCATCGTCAGCGTGGCCAACGAGATGTTCCAGGATATCGGGAACAGGAACATCCTTTACAGCAGCCTGGGTATCGGCCGACGATGATAGCTCCTCCTTCAACTCGCCATATTGGAGGTTGCGTAGGGAATAAGCCACTATCTGAGAAGCAAGGGCCTTGACAACCTCGTTATTTTCGGGAGTTGGAACATCGATATCAACGGCGACAATATTCCGAGATATGCGGGCTGCCGACATAAACGACGCATACAGCGCACAAGCCTCCTCCTGAGCTTCAGGGGTGCTTGCAGACGCCAGGTTCTGGATACCTGAGTTCTCAAGGATATTGATATGGCAAAGTTTAGGGCAGTCGGGTAAGATCTCAGCGAGAGCAATAGCATGCTCTGAACTAAGACAGACGTCCGCAAGATGTATTCGTCTTAGCTCCTTCATCTGTGGGAGGTATCTTCGTAGAATCCCCAATGAGTCAGGCTGTGTGATGAATAAGTCTTTGTTGTGCGATAGATCGATAAAGCGGAAGTTGGGTAACAGGGTCAGTCCCTGCATGAGTGAGCAGAGAGTTTTAGGCGTCAAGGAGCAATCCGCTAGGCTTAAGGCACTTAGAGGGAAAGTCTTGTCAAGAGTAGATGAGAAAAGACCAATGTGGGCTTCCAGCTTGTTGCCACCTAAATCAAGACCTTCACATTTACCACCCTGGAAGTAGTTGATGACATATTCGAGTCCCTCTTTGGTGAGATCGTTATTAGCTAGGCCTAGTCGCCGTAGTCCCATAGATCTGGCTGCATCACTTATTTTCTGCACATCTTCGGTCGATGGAGAGCATTCGCTAAGAACGAGTTCTTCAAGCCGCTCACCTCCAAAGCGCTGTGCAAGGGCATTTGCGAATATGGTACCGATATCGGGTACAGGCTTAGAAGGCCTGGTGATGGGTGACGCTGGACCATTGGTAGGGGGTGTGGGACGGGGTAAGGGTATGCCAGACAAGTCAATACCTCTGAGTGAGCGAGACATGTGTATGAAAAGACTGATATGTCGCCATCCCTCGGGGCCGATTTTCGAGTTCCCCTTTAGTGACAATTTTTCTATAGCTCCGTATCGAATTTCCTTTGCCAGCTCAGACCCGAGATTCCTGTGTTTCAACTGCCGGGCTTGTCTGGCAGCCTCGATGGTCTTGGTAGCCAGTAGACCGCCGAGGATGACCCTGACTGCTTCATCAGACAGACCACAGTCCTGTAATATCAGTTTCCGTACTGGGACGATGGAAAGCCAATCACTGAAGGTAATGATATCGGTCAAAGTCATTGGGAAGCCAGTCAAGTCCAGGACTGCAACAGTACCGGGGGACTCGGCCAAGATTGAAGATGGCGAAGAGATCTGTTCGACCAACTTCTTCAACACGCCTGTCTCTCGAAGCTGGCAGCATCGCCGGTATATTCGTAGAGGATCTGTGGTAGGCTGGTCTTGACCGCGCGATGACCGACGGACGGAGTTTGTTTTGGAAGTACTATTGCTTCCACCTTCGAGGTTGACCTGCAAGGGAATCGAGCCATTTTCCTCGGCTTGTCTTCTCTTCTTCTCCTTCCGCTCCTTGCGTTCCTCTTCCGAGCGCTTTTTCTTCTCCTGCTTCTTAGTCGGCGGTGGCTTGGATTTCTCGTCATCGATTGGATGCGAGTCTGGAGGCTGCACAGCACCATTACTTACAGGGGCATCCGAAGGCGGTGATGACGTCGGCAGAGGTGCATGTCCCGCTGCATGTTTTAACACGGTGCCTTCTTCGGCTTCCACTGCCTTGGGGTCGGATTTTTTCTTGGTGCTGCGTTCCTCGTCACCTTCAGATCTCCTTTGAGTCCCTGCAATCTCGACATCCACGCAAAACGCCACACGTCGCAGTTTTGCTTGGTTGAGTTCCGGAATCTTACAACGATCCCGGTCCGCATCAACATTCATCACTCGCCTTGGCCACACCCCGCCATTTGGGGCGTAGTTGGAGGACAGCTTGCCCAGGCTAGCTCCTCCTGATGAAGACAGTTTTCGGAATGCGTTGTGGAAGAACGAGGGGTGGCCGCTCCTTGGAGAGCCGCTTGTGAAGGAGCTGGAACCTTCCCCTGATTTATCAGCATCTTTCGGAGAGAATGCAGCACCGAAGGGATTTATCGAGTCAGATGGTTGTTGTTGCCGGCTGGTTGACGGCGACTCTCTCATGTGGCTCTGAGACGGAGGTGTGGAGCCAGAGGAGAACTTGGAGCTTAGAGTGGAAATCCAAGAGTTTCGCCGAGGTACGGGCTTTGGCGGTGTTCCTCTGGTACTCGCATTTGTGCTGGTGACCGTAGTTTGGGTTGTGCCCGTAAGAGCGACGGCGCTTGTAGTGATGTTTGGGGCAGGCGTATATTCCGGGCCAGTGCCCTGGCCCTGACCCTGGGCTTGGATCTGATTTTGATTTTGGCTTGGTGGAGATAGCGACTGTTGTTTTGGGGGCTCGTTCTCTAGGCTCTCAGAGAGTAGCGGCAATGGTTTGGATAATGATGATGCTGGCACCGGCTTTGGAGCCGAAGGCGACGCTTGTCCATTCTGTCCATTAGTAGTGCTGGCTGTCGCATCGTTTTGAGTAGCAGTGCCGTCGGCCTCAGGCTGCTGCTCATTTGACTTGTGCTGAGTAGGCCTGGAGGGCGTATTTTTGGATCGACCGGCAGTATCAGCTATACAGCACTGTCAGAGATGACCTCATATCACATTATTACATCTCACCAAGTCCCGATTAGAAAAAGATCATAAACATACCCCGCTGCGAATGATGGAGCCAGCTCACGTCTACGGCTTCAGCACCGCCTTCCATTGTGTATTGAAGCGAATGTGCGCAACGATGCGTGGAGAGGTAAAAGCTCCCAAATCCCTAAAGAGTCGGCCAACTGGTCCGTCTGTTTGCACTGGAATAAATGGGAGGCGAATATTGTTCAAGTCTACCGAGTACACGATCGTAGGTTGCCTTTCCAAGGAACAAAAGACGCAGCGACAAAAAGGGGAAAGAAAACAAAAAAGGAAAGAAACCTGCCCGGAAAATTGATGGATTGCGCAGTGAAAGGCGAAGATATGTCGCGAAATCGAGCAAGAGACGAGCGAGAAGTCGGTGTCGTGTGTGTATACGGCGGATTTCTCTTACAGCGGTTTCCGGCGGGAATCTTCCAAGGACGGACGAGGGAGGGAATGGCAGGTCATTGTGAATGAAACGAGCCGATTGCAGCGTCCAGAGCCATCAAGCAAGGGATAGCAGTGTGAAGGCGGGAGTGCTGTGCGAGCGTATATATGTGACTGTGCTGCGCTTGTGTCCTCCTGCTGGCGGCGAGAAGAGAGTCGTGGGAAAAAGTGTACCCTGTAGCAGGGCTGGTTTTATGTATCTCGCTTTCTTCCCGCAGAACCCAGAACGACGGCCAGGATTACAAAGCGGCTGATGCAAAAGTTTCTTCTTCTGCTGGCATGGCAGTTAGCCTAAGTTTAATCGCTTTCGCTTGTGCCGGTGGGAGACGGGTCTTGTCCGCTCCGGGCTGCATCTCCTTTCTTTTTCCCTCCACAGGATGAGATGGATGTGTCTCTTCTTCTCGACTGGCTGTATTGTGGCCAGCAGTAACTCGTGAGTGACCTGGCCTGGCGCGTTCGCTTGTTGTGGGGGAAATGAGAGGCCGGATGGCGTTGGCGGGCGGAGAGCCGGGGAGGCTATAGCAGCATCTTCCCCGTCCTTAATTGCGCCGGCTCGAGCTGATGTGTTCGGGTTCGTGGCTTGCTGGCCGTCTTCTGCTTTGCCTGCTGGTTGTGAAGATGAAGTCGCGAAGTCGACGTTGCGAGGATGTCGTCAAAGTATCCACTTTAGGAAAAGTACGGAGATCGCGTGACTTGCCGGTTGCGGCGGCGAGGAAGAACAATTATATAAAAATTAAAGTAGAAGTGAAGGAGACGAAGGGTCTACGTGAGATACAGTCTTATTCCATGGCTGGTCATAGTAAAGAAGATCATATCATTATTCCCATTCCGCCGCCAGGTCA